TACAGATTTCATTTTTATTTTAAGTTTATAGTAATTTATATATTTATAAAATTTAAAAAGAGTAGTAAGTGAAGGTTACTGCAGCACACACATACAGTGATACTGGCATCTAGCAGCCTCTTAAAACAGTTTTAAATGTCATCATTCACTAAAATCATTTATCATATAATCAGGATCTGCTTAGCTGTACTGCATAACTTGCAAACCAGAAGGCTGAGGCTTCTCTCTCCACCTACAGAAAATCGTGGGCTTTTTGGAGTTTTAGATTTTCTGTTTGTGTGTGCTATCTGGTGCATTTAAATCCTCTACAACACACAAAGTTTGCATTATTTCTACCAAGACATTCACAGACCATACATTTTAATTACTATGCCCGGGGAGTTAACATCTTGGGACATCCTCAGTCTTTAATTTATTTAATTCACATAATTAATACACAGGTTAAATTTTTCAGGTGCCAGTGGAATACAACCTACACTCAAATCAGGTCAGCTGAGACTACAGTTCATATCACTGGGGACAGAACTTGCTAACAGTATTTGTCCAAGTTGGTGGCTAATGGAAATCCAGTTTAAAACCTCAATTTTTCAAACACTTATATACGACATCCTTAACTTATTTAAATATGGCAATTGGACTACTCACAGAGCATAAAGTTAAGCACGTACATATGTCTTTGCAGGATCGGTGCTTAAAAATCAAAACAATTTCTTTGCTCAAGAAAACATGAGAGTTTCATGAAGCATTTGTAATCACCCTAAACTATTGATTTGTATCCCTAAACTGGTGTGTCACCTTCTGCCTTAGAAATATACACACAAAGGCTCTTGTCTGGAGATGAAATATCTGTGGACTTGGTCAGATTCCCTGCCTTACTTCATTCACCACCAACACAAGAGAAAGAGCAGATATTAAGAGAGGTGGCTAAAAGAAGTAGTAGTATAACAGGAACAAAGTGGATGATAATCCTTCCGTTCCCGCAGCATCAGAGCTATTCTAACAAAAAGTGTTTTGGGAAGCTGGAGGATGGAATGTTAGGGCCCAAAGCATCAGTGGTAGTTGGGAAGCCCATTTTTGGGAGCTGGCACTGGAATGTTTAGTCCTGTACAAAACCTGCCAGCTGGGGGCAGTAGGCAGCTCAGTAAGGAGAGAAACCAGAAGTGGGGGAGGTGGGAAATTTAAAAGAAGCTGTTGTCCTAAGCTCTGATGGATCAAGTCCTATTCTTCTCTCTCACAAGCTGATAGAGATAACTGGGGCTTCACAGCAGTTAGCCAACTTAGAAGAAAAACAGTCCAACTGAGTGAGAGGCAGGAGAAGTGGGCCAGTGCCCTCAGTAAAAAATTGCTCAGAACACCAGAATTCTTGTCTCTCTCTTTTTTCACACTTCCCCATCAATGCAAGACTGAAGAGGTTTTCCAGACTCACTGGTGTTAACATTCTCAGGGGAGTCTGTAGTCTCAGCCACAAGTGTGTAACCATCACAACGTGGAGCAGCTCTCTCTGACTGATTAACCCTTTCTTTTCTGTGGGACTATCCATGACTGACAAATCGTCACCTGACAATCAGTTTTCCTAGGATTCTGCCAGCCAACTATATCTGTGGAGTGCCAGATGTCTTCAAATCTTGGCAGTGGATCAGTGTCAACAGAACCGACTTGCTAGTCTGTAACCATCACAAGAATACAGACCAAATCTTACTATGAAGCTCTTAGGGCATAGTATTTAGAGATGTCTATGTAACAGTAAAGACACCACTGACCACTCCTCTTTACAAAACAACGGCCTGTCAGTCAGGTGAATCAATGCCAGAAGAATCAGTCGTATCTTCCACTTCTTCAGTACCTTCCATTAAAGATCCCACAGACCTCTACAAACATTCATGAATTAATCAGCACAATATCCTTGTGAGGTAGGATTATATTAGTTCCTAGAAGAACTCTACTTTTCATGAGAATTTGAAACCATCACAAAACTAAAATATTGTAAAAATGGTTCATTTACTAATGGAAGCAGGAAGAAGATTGTTAAACAAGTTCAAATACATCTGAAAGCGAGTAAGATTGCTTCTATGGATTCTACCCTGCTCTAAAACATGAAGACAGCTTTTATCCTGGATGAACATAGCACATATATTCTATTACTAAGGACCATGGAACAACCCCCCAAAACACTTCATTGTGTGAATGCTTCTAAACTTGCTGGATTTGTAAAGAAACATTTCCTAAAAATTGTATTTCTATAACTAATTGCCTTCAATCCAGACTGTTGATTTACTCAGCTCTTAATCTGTAAATAAAATAAGGCAAACTTTTGAGGCCTCCTGATTAATTAGAAAAGGACTGATCCATTTATATTACTAGAGATAATAGCAAACAAATATTCCATATTTTATTGAGCATGCCCCAATTAGATCTTTGTGTCCCTCAAAATAAGCATGTCTCAAAGCCACCAAAAGGAAATTCTATATTTATGAGAAAAAGCACACAGGATATTCCAAATATGTAAAAGGAATCTCTACTAACTGCAGGACTGAGAAAGGGTCCAGATGAAAGTTTTTCAGGTTGTGACTGGATGAAAAAAAAACAGGCTGGACCTCTTGATTTTCTTCATTGTATATTGAACACACCTTAATTTACTGTACATGCATGTGCACATGCATTGTCGGTTTATTAAATTATCTGCAGTTCCCAGAGTATAAAACTATCGCTTGCTTCAGGAAAAGTCACAAATACCACTAACTGGAAGAAAACGCTGAGGCCTGCAACAAGCCAAAAGAGAAGAGTCTGATTTAAAAATCAGAGGTTGATTACAGAGAATCATAGGAATCTATCACAATATTATTTGTCTCAACCTGAAGCACCACAAAATACTAGTCTTGGTGAGAGCTGCAGGCAGCAAGCCAACGCAAGAGTGAGTGGAGAGGTAATGCTTTGGCCCTCAGAAATACTTCTATTTATTGCACTCAAAACATGGAATTCTTTGTAGAACTGAAGCACAAGATTTTTCATTTAACTGTAAAACATGTGAAGACATACTAACAATATGAGAGATAGTTTTAAATTAAAATTTCATGTGGATTCACAGCTTTACTAAGATTGATTGTTTGTGCTAATTACTACTACTACTTTGGTATTCTTACTATATTGGCTTTGGGGCAAACAAGACCTCACCCCACCTTTCTGATTTTGTTGAACTTTGCAGGTTCTCTGGATTGTGAGATCACAGTGTCAATCTCAATATTGGAGTACTGCTCATTAGTGACGTGCTCGTTAGATACAAGCTATGTGAGGACATTCCTTGTGTAAGATGACTGATGCAGGAAAATTATTGACAGCAATAATAGCTATAAAATGTCTCCATCGCTGAATTTGTAGACTAGCTGGTTTAAACAATTTTTAAAGTTTAGATGGGTCAAAACCTTGCCAGGGCAAGCTATCCCACACATCTTCAGGACTTCTTGCACCTGTCTATCAAGCATCTGGTGCTGGCCACTACTGGAGACAAAATATTGGACTAGATGGACCCTAGCTTTGCTACAGTATAGTAATACACCCGTCAGTCCTCTGGAACCCATGAAGTCTTTTGAATCTTGCCACTGGAATTGCTGGCATAACACTACAACTAAGTATCATATGCTATGAGGTAATTAACAAAACTGCCTTTCCAGTGGTTTTCCAAGTAACTAGAAGTAGCATCTTGTATTTTTATGGGGCTGCTGGATGTTTCCAAGGTCAAGGGACAGCATTAGCGAGTCAGAGGCAGCAGATATATCCTCAAAAAACAAGTTAACTAATTATACCTTTTGGCTTTTACTCTGGACTTGCTCTGGCTTTAAAGCCATTGGCTAGGTTTAATGAGGTTCAGGGAGGGAGGAGGGGCAGTCCACTAGTGAGAACCCTCAGTGTAATTCTGGATAGGTTAGCTGTGGTGGCATGTTGGCTGGAGTCATGCCAGAACTCAGCCACTCTTCCAAAAGGTATAGCATGCATCATCCCCTACACTAGCTCAACACTACTGGGTGATGAGCTTGACCCCACCCTATCTGGACAGGCTGGTTTGCAGCAGTGCACCACCAGAACTGCCAGTCCTACACCCCTAGATCAGTGGCTCTCAACCTTTCAAAACTACTGTACCCCTTTCAGGAGTCTGATTTGTCTTGAGTACCCCCAAGTTACACCGCACTTAAAAACTATTTGCTTACAAAATCAGAAATAAAAATACAAAAGTATGATAGCATACTATTACTGAAAAATTGCTTACTTTCTCATTTTTCCAATATAATTATAAATCAATTGAAATATAAATATTGTACTTATATTTCCGTGTATAGTATTTAGAGCAGTACAAACAAGTAATTGTCTGTATGAAATTGTCTTTGCTAGTGCAAATATCTAGATGAGTTGATGTACCCCATGGAAGACCTCTGTGTACCCTGGTTGAGAACCACTGCCTTAAGATTGTGGCTAGCTAAATAAGAGAAAAAGGGGGAAGAGGAGAAGGCTCCTGGAGTCCCAGGCAGGACAACCCACAATCTGGTCCTGCATATTTTAGTTATGTTACTATATATTTTATTTAGTTAAGCAACACAAAAAGAAACCCAAGAAGGATTTGTCATTTATATGGATAACAAGAATAGCACTAGCTATTATGGCTAGCTATCAAAAAACTTGGGAAGGGGATATAAAACCTCATATTTAAGTGCTTAAACTATCTCTAACTATTAGGGATCAGGAGCTCTTCATGAGGGACAAAATTATCCCACATTTGCCTGCTGGAGGGTTTCTTGCATCTCACCCTCAGCATCAGGTACTGGCTTTTGTCAGACGTTTACTGGTCTCGATGGACCACTGGTTTCACCCAGTATGGCAGTTCCTATGTACCCAGTAAAGAAGGCTCATTGAATTGCATGATATTCTTGTAAACGTCTACTGTGATACAGGTGAAAAATAATCATCCACACAAAAAAGCATGATTATAACTGAAGAGGAAATTTACTTACTGCTGAGAAATCAAAGTCTATCTGGTTAGCTAAGTTTAAGATATAATCGATTCGAAACTGGTTCTCTGGATTGGCTAGCTCCACTGGTGGTGCCAAATTGCCCATTGCTGTCACTATTGTCTGCAAAGAAAGGGAAAAATACCCCACATTTGTTACTGAGATAGTGGTTAAAAACAGCTTTTAGAAGCAAGACACAATGGTTTGTAGACGTACCTCTATAGCTTCTTTAATATTGTTTTTAATATCCTGAATTTTCATTTTTTTCTCCCTGTAACCAAGGAAACATACAAATTAAATTTATGCACCACAAAAACAGAGGTTTCTGAAGTGAAATGCAAATGAAAAAGTACATTAGAACAAAACATACAAGTGAGATGCCTGCTTACTCCCATTCAGTCACTGAACACATTTGTAGTTAGATCACCAACTATCTTACTTGTTTAGGAAAACAGATTTTGATTTCAGATACATGTGTTTAATCATAATAAACCCATATAAACTTATTAAAATTGTAGTCTTAGATGGAGAGGAACTCATCTTAGTGATACTATGGACATTCTGTAGATCAAGCAGGTTTGGATTCGAGTGTAAAGAATAGAAATACCTGGAGGCTATTTATAGACGAGCGGAAATGAAGAGATAAAAGGGACAAGTTACCAAAAGTCAAAACAACAAAGAAAAAGCAAAGCAGACCAGGGTAACACGAAGATTTAAGGGTGAAAAGAAAATCAGAGAAGAAAACATCTGGAACAGAGAGCTCAGACCAGAAGGAGATACACAATTTAACTACATGAACATGCAAAGTATAGTGCGGATAGGAGGACAAATCTATTACATAGAATTACCAACATAATACAGGGAACAAGACGGGTGAGATAATATATTTTATTGGGCCAGCTTCTGTTGGGGGAAGGGACAAGCTTTCGAGCTTCACAGAGCTCTTCTTCAGATCCTGAAGCCATTGACTCTAACAAAATTACTCTCAAGGTAAATCCATTAGGTATGTTATGTAATGTATGTCATATGCAAATCTGACCACAAAAGTTATTTTAATATTAAATATTTAATATTACATCAAATAAGATGTATAATCAACATATTAAAAACACCTGATGTAACCATGAATCTTAATACAGTAAAATGAAACTGGAAGTATAATCAACAATCAGGAATGCAGAAGAAGAGCTGAAGGAAAAATACTGCTTCAACAATAATACAGGCAGACATAGTTGGCTGGGGATGGGTGGAGAAATCTGTTTATAGAATAAAACATGAATAAAAAGCCTTTGGGGAAGAAGACAAAGTCCAAGAACACACATACAGTGCACTAGCTACTTGCCACGTTGCATTTTGTGACTAGCTGCAGGTCTGGAGGTAATTTTTCCTACAGCTGCTAGGATCCGATTGTGGTGCGAGCGTTGCACTTATGGACTGAAAGAACACAGCAGCATTACGGCCTCTTGCGCTGAGGCGCCATGTAGCTTGAAACAGACAGGCAGGGTAGTGGAATTCTAGCATCAAATAGATGTGAAGTCTCAGTTGTGGTTGTGTTCCTAGTCTACCTACAGACCATCGGATTCCAAATTTACTGTATTTGACGACTACCAGTTTTTGCTTCAGGGATTTGGCACAGCTGATGGGAACAAAGCAATGAATCAGTAGAAGCTAAAAGCACTGAACTAAGAAAAATAAGGGAAGGACAGGGGGAGATAGACAGAGGCCTGCTCTCCGTCTTTTCCTTTTCATTGTCCTCCTTTCATTTCTATTCTTCCTAGCCCCCCCCCCCCCACTAAAGAGATGACAAGAAATTCCCTCCCACTCACCCACCCCCACACATACCAAGCACACTAACATTTTACAAGACAAAAGGTAGGTACGAAAATGCTATGTGGTTAATGTAACAATCGCATTAACCACTGTGACTTCCCACTTTTAAAGGTTAGTGCTCTTACAGAATAGGGTAAACATTAAACAAAACAATGCAATGAAACTGCTAGGGATGAGAGAAGACGGAAGGCAGGAAGCAAATGGTAACTGATTCAAACTTCACAGTGAGAGACTTTCATTCACTCTCGTTTGATTTTGTCCCCTTTATTCAAAGAGGCCCTGAACCTGCAAACATACACAGTTCTACTGAAGTCCACGGGACTACTGATCTATACAAGGTGTCAGTGTTTCTGCAGGACTGGGCTCAAACAAAGAATGGTTATACTTAATTATTTTGCCTTATTTTGGTACGGCATTAAAAAAGGCAAAACAAAAATCTAACAGGTTTAGGTGTTTGTTTGGAGACAAGGTGGATGAGGTAATATCTTATATTGATTTGAAGAAGAGCTCTGTGTAAGCTCTAAAGCTTGTATCTCTCACCAACAGAAGTTGGTTCAATAAAAGACATTAGCTCACCCATCTTGTCTCTAATATCGTGGGACCAATACAACTACAACAACAATGCATACAATTAATGTATATATGTTTGTTTTTAAAAAGGTCAACTATAATTACATTCTTCTCCAAAACAAATGAGGTTTTATTTAGAACATTTTCTCAATATATTTGCTAAGTGTACATTCATGAAAAATTCCCAAATCAGACCACAGAAGCTCTATATTTAATATTACATTCAGATTTTAAGTCAATCTTTCATATTTACATTCACAGATCCTCAAGCTATCAGTATCACAATAAAGTGATAATGGATTCTGAAGTAGTGTAAAACTCCTACAATTAACAAATTGCTAGGTAATCATCACCATCTTTACTTCAGGAATACTTCGTCCCCCTATTTGTGTTTTTGTTGCCATGGCCCTGTGGCATGTCCTGTAAACAAAGAATCTTATTACACAGCAATGAATGTATCATCTCATTTTGTATTTTATAATGTTTACTAGGCATAAATTTTCCATGGCGATGAGGTGCCTCACTCCTCAGGAAACTCAACAGGCTCATCAATAGTTCAGCCAATATCTGATGTACAGCGCAATTGTTTTTAAAAAGTGCTACTTAGTACCAGCTTTTATTCAGGGATTTATAAAGTGTAGCCTGAATTCATCTCTTCACATAAAAACACTATTTTCACAAATTATACAAATATTTTTAGCCTACTGAGTTCTGAAACCACCACCACCCATTCACCACGGCCAGAATTATTTTTATAGGAACATTGCCAGGTTAAAAATATTTTCTGATTTAAAACAGCTTTTCTTCTTGTATTAATATTAAGACTGCTCAGATTTTAAAAACTAAGAATTTTAAAGATCACTTACATCTCACCACTAATGTTGATTGTTTACTTGTGCACAACATTCAACTATAAACTGAAAACATATTAGTTTGTTTCAATTTCTGGCTCTTGTGTGCTATCCCAATCCCCAAAACTGCAAGGGAATGTTTATATCCCAACAAAATCTTTTCATGGGATAGATTAGATATAATATCATGGAAACATTCATGTTTAATTTACTCACAGCTCCGTATGTCTTCTCCAGAGCTTGTGGTATACATAGATTCATGCAGGGATTAAAGGCACCTTTTCAAACTCAGTTTATAACATGGTTTGGGCCAGTCCGCACAGCCCAGAACAAAGGGTTAAATTCTGTTGCAGCTGAGCAGTTTGAACAGTAGTTATCAAACTCTGTTGTTTTGGCTATTTAAAAGGGTGGGGGGAAAGCTGCATCCATTTATCATGAAGGCCACTAAAACCTGTTTGAGGAACCATGAAAAATATTACCTTCAATTTCAAATAGGGAAGAAAGTCAAAACACAAATCACCTTAAAGCTTAAGAGACTCAATCCTGCCTTGAAGTCCAGGCCTAGACCCTGATTAGGAAAAGCATCCCTATTCAGTAAAGCACGTCATGTGTTTAAGTGCTTTTCTGAATCAGTGCCCTAATGATTTTCTATTAAAGACGACAACTACTTTTTTTTAGTTTTGACTTTATAATGCTTTATCAAATCCTACATAGCCAGCAGGCTACCAAGCAAGTTGCCTTTTTGTAGTCTGACTTAATTGTCAATTTTATTGCATTTTAGAACCCAGGAACTATGTGAATATTCATCTGTAAACTGGGTATAGGGACCTTCTGAAAAAACTTACAACTTCTACTTTAATATTTCAAAAGCTTTATTGGTGGCAGCAAAGACCAGGAAGTCAGTTCACTCTTTGCGAATCAGTGTACGCTTTGCTAGGAGGAGGAGGGGAAGAAATCAGACTGTTAGCCTGAAGGCATTAAATAAAATGTGCTATGGTAATTATTAAAACATGGTCACATTAATAAAACGTGTGACATGATTGCTCTACTGGTTAAAATAATTGACAGAACAAAGTATTAGTTTCAACCTCTCATTAATCACATGTTCAGTTAGAACCGCTGGCAGGTTAAGAAGCCATGTACTGTACTATAAAGGAATGGGTACAGTCCTGTCGGTGCTAAGAATACTAATACTACAAAGAAAAAAAACAAGTTTAAAATCAGATACTAGAGTGTTTTACTCTTTCTACAATACAATTACTATTAAAGATATTATATACAGAGACATGATAAAGAAAAAAAAATACTTTTCTCCATATGCTATGGCAGGTCTTCAGTGAGACTGCTGGAAAAGAAAACCCATATCCTTCAGAAATTCAGAGTAACAAAACTGTTTTAATTATTTTTTCCTTAGAAAGTTAAAAAAAAAATAAAATCCATTACAATGTGCCACCATCATTTCAAGGTTCACAAAGTACCTAAATTATTTTTTAGAAGTGATAGAGAAACATTTTCCCAATAAAATGGGGACTGCACAGCAAATTTCACAGCCTGATTATAAAAACATTTTTAGTAACCAAACGTGTTATAAAAGATGCAGTGAAGAGGTGATTACAGTGATGTTTGATGTACTATATATGGGAGTCAAAGTAAAAGCCTTTGATCAGAGAGTATATAACAGAGAAACACTTCTAATGAGGGTGAAGTGTATTTATGAAAGTGGATTATGATGCTAGTTAATCGAGGCATGAAGACCACCTAAAGCAGGGACGTTCCCTGAAAAACCTAATACACTTAGGCCTACTGTAACGTGAGTACAATAATTAAACCTCAGCATTGTTTATATAAGCTATGCTGACATTCATTTTTAAAGGATGTTTGCTTTTTTTATTTCTGAGCCTGCTTTAAAATCTGCAAGAAATAAATAAAAGCATCCTAGGCATAACGCATTTCCTTTGCTTGTGAAGTAGTAGTATGCCCTTCAGTACCATTAATGTATTATTTGACCAACAGCCAGTCT